GCGTGTTAGAACGAGCCGTTTTAGGTAGGCGTGGTTGACTCTTAACTTTTATAAAGAATATCTCTTTGGTTTTGAGACTTTAGTCTTTGCAACTTTACAGATCTTCTTTATGCACCAAGAGCTTGTAACACTCCAAAGAGAAAGGAAAACTTGAAATCGCATCACATGACCCCTTTAACACAATGGGATGAGACAAATGGTTAGCCATTTTGTTAATCACTATTTCCAGTTCAGTTTTTATTTCCGCCGTTGTGGTGGGTTCGGCCCACAGTCAAATCTCATTGGTCCAATAATCCACTTCACATCAGTTATTTTAGTATCATGGAGATACTATTATAGCTGTTATTAATATTTTGAATTAGTTTTCATTTTTATATTTCCCGTTTCCATTTTAATTTAAGTTGAGGTTTTAGTAATTTAGTGTTTTTGCCATTTTTATTAGTTTTATAAATCTTTTTCTGCCTATATAGTTTTTATTCGTTTGGGTTTTAGTTTTCGTTCTACATTAATTAAACTAATTGAAATATATATTATTCCAGTTAACATTGATTTTACTTCAAGTAACAATTTTTTATGGTTTAAGTTTTTATTTTTAATGAAATATAATAACCTGTGCCTCTTGCCTGGATAAGACTTATATTTGTGGTGCAACATTTACATTTCTTGTGCAAAATAGTTGCATTTATATAAGCAACTTTTTTTATGTGTATTTATTCTTTACCATTTTTGGTCTAAGAGAGCATCTAAAAGAGTTTAAAATGTGATGAATTTTTATAGGGTCTGCTTTTATAGTCCTGATTTTCAAAATGTTTTTATATCTCTAGAAGTATAGAATAATGTCCATGCATTCTGAATTTATTGTCTTTGTGTTTTTTATTTATGATAACAGAATTGGTTGTGGTGCTTGAGTGTTTTATGTTGCTTACACACAAAATAATACAAGTGAAATATTTAGTCTTTTTTATAGTGTGAGTTGTCTAATGGATATCATCACGGATAACATGATAATAACAGGGGGTTCGTTTTTGTGAAGAGCTTTGTTTGCATTTTTTGCTTTGGATAGAATAACTAAATGGAACTGTTTATTCATTTCTTTGCTAGTTATCAGCATGTACTGGTGGAGCAGCTGTTGCATGAGGTTTATGTGTGTTTGGCGTCTGGTATTGTCGGATTTGACTGGTCTTTCACCTTTTTCCTCTTTACAACCCTGCTCGTTTTGAGCGTGTTGGCTTGCATGAACGACTGCTGTAGATACGAGACTAGATGTTTCTGTATGTTTGTGTCTGAATTGAAATCCATCAGATGGTGGATTTTCAAGAGATGGAAAACCTTTGTCATCTCCATTTTGCGTCATTACTTCCACTGATTTAGATTTTAGGTGTTAAGGATGGTTTTATGAATTATGGAAGTGAATAAACATACACTTCCAAAGGTATCTATGTGCTTACTTTCATACATTCACTTAAAAGTAGTTCACCTTTTCTGTCACTACTTACTCAACCTCATGTTGTTCCAAGCCCAATGTTTTTCTGTCCTCGGTGGAACAAAAAAAGAGGAATTTTTAAAGAACAACCAGGCTGATCTTTTAAAATTAATTGAATGTGGAGCTGCACATACAAAGCTATATTATCAAACAAAGCTATATTATGATATAACACTATCAGAAGACTTAAACATAGAGTATGAATCATATGGACCACTTTTATTCCCTTTTTTTGTCTTTTAGTTCTTGACAGACCATTCACATTCACTTTAAATATACGGAAACAAGCAGTCTGTCAAGTCTGAATGCAGTCTGAATGGTCTGTCAAAATACTACAGTAGGCACATTTCCATTACAGATTTGCGCAAAACGTTAGCGATATTTTATAAATGTTGATAAAAAAGTATTGCGAAATGATGAAATTAACCAATGTTATGCAACTAAAACGTACATTTTTCCTCTCGTGATAAGTCATGGCAACGGATTTTGGTGGGATTTTGACGGATTTTGGCTATATTTATTCGAAGGAGGCGTATGCGTGCATCTTTACAGAAGCAGCGCGGAGAGCCGCTTCAGAAACATGCGTGGCGCAGCTGGTATAAACACAAGCATTGGCTAGAGTTGCCGCAATCAGCTACAGTGGCCGTATCAGAGCCACACTGCGCTGCAGACGTGTGCAGTGTAAATTGTCTAAGCATTAATGGCAGGAAAGCCCCTTATACTCGAGAGTATGAAGTGTTTCTTGGAGGTTATAGTACATTGAAGAATGATCATATGATTTTTTACATGTGACCTGTAAATGCGGAAAAAAAAAACGTTTCCATTGCAGTTTTGCGAAATATTCCTTTTTCGAAAAACCACCTTATGCAAGCGTAATTTTTTTTTTTGCAATATATGGGAGTTTTTACGAATTTGACGCGTATTTTCAATCCGCAATTTTAATTTGCGCGATTTGAAGGGTAATGGAAACGCAGCTAGTGATTTTGAACAAATGAAAATGATTTTTCAGTTTAGGGGGAAAATTGAATTTAGTGAAATTTAATAGCAAATTTTGAAATTTGAAATTTGTTTTAAAATTAATCCTACACCAAATATTTTTTCTGTGTGTATATATACGAGTCCGACCAGATTTAAAATTTCTGAATTTGCTGTGGCTTTTCTCCAAAAAATAGCTGCAATATTTGCATTTTTGTTGTGTTTTTGCAGTAAAAACACACCAATAATCATGATGTACTTTTGTAATTAGTGTTAATGACAGTAAGATTAAAATTCTGTAAATATTTTTGTACATAATTACTGAAACTGTTTCTGGTTCCCCATGCACATGATAATGGTCACACTAGTATTGAAATATATATAATTCTGCTTTTCTTAAAATACAGAAATGTATTGAACACAATAGCTTGCACATTGTCACTGGATCAGTATTTAATCAGTGACCATATTATAAATGTTAAATTGAATAAATGATTTCATGTTTTTACAATTGAACAATTATATTGTCTATGATTTATATCGTCTGAAATATTTAAATAGTGCATATTCAATAAAATAATGTACTTATTTGAATCTAATCTAGGCTAATGGTGAAATCGGGCATTACGGGCACAATATGTATTGATTTATTAGTTGGCACTCTAAATTATGTATTGTTATTCGCTACATTTTTATAAGATAATATACGAAAAAATTAATTTGGGCTTGGAGCAATATTTTAGGGTGAAACTGCTCAGAGATACTTCTAAATTAGCCATTACTTTATGTTCTTAGAGTGACACAGACCCTGATACTAACTTTGGTTCATACTCTGAATTCATGAAGACTTGGAGATAGAAAAGCACTGATGCCGTGTGTAGCTGAGGACACCTGTACTAACAGTTTGTTGGTGTGTTTGTGTGCCATTCCTCAGGGTAAGGTGGCACAGACGGCGTGCATGTCTGCCTGTAAACACCTGGCCACGTCACTGATGCAGATGCTGCTGGATACTGAGCTCAAACAGATCAGCATGGGAGCCATTCTCTGATTTGTCTGAATTGTAATTTATAGTGTGTCAGTGGATAGTTGACAGGGAGATGTAGGAAATGTGAGGTCACATGCATTTGGGATGTAATCAAGGTCATACATGCACTTTCATTCAGACTGAAACAGTAATCTGTCTTTTTTAAATGTTTAAAACACTCCAACTGAAATCTTACCAGTCCTGTTTTTGTAGTTTGGCCTCGTCCAGCATACATACACATTAATGGGACCACACGTGGCCTCAGTGCACTTGCTCTAAAGGACAGAGGTGACATGCAACATGAATTTAGTCCTTAAAATATTTAATTTTGCATCTTGTATACTTAAAGACTGCAGCTCAACTATGCAAAAAAACTAAAAAACACTGTAGATCAATTGTAAGTGCACACGAACACAGTGATGTGATCTCAGGGCTCATGGTAGGTCTGTTATCATTAATAAAATCTTTGTGAGGAAAATGTCTTAGCTGGCTGCACAAACTTTAAACCAGTGTAGTTCACTGAACAACACAAATTATTCTTCTCATAAATGGTCATACTCTATTACAAAGCTTTCTGGAACACTTGATTCTTACGGTTTATCCAGCATTCATCAGTCAGAATATAAATACAAAATGATAGCTAATCTGAATAACTGACAGATTTTCAACATAGCTGAGCTAGTTTTACCACCATCAGTCTGATAAATATGATCATCTAATTTTAGAAAACCATAGATTGAGTGAGTTAGTTATGATCATCTGGTTTTAGAAAACCATAGATTGAGTGAATCAGTTAGTTACTTGTGATCATCTAGTTTTAGAAACCTATAGATAGTGAGTTAGTTATGATCATCTGGTTTTAGAAAACCATAGATTGAGTGAGTTAGTTATGATCATCTAGTTACAGAAAACAGATTGAGTGAGTGACTG